GAGAGAGAGAGAGAGAGAGAGAGAGAGAGAGAGAGAGAGAGAAACGGAGAGAGGGAGCCAAACAAACTAGAATTATGCTTAATACGAATGAATTTTCGCAATTTTGGGTTTTCCTCTTCCCGTTGTGGAGGCATCGGAGAGTGAAAAACACATTGTTCATAGTGTACACGTTTATTCGTTGGGAGAACCGGAAGGAAATTTTGGCATTTGCATAATTTGCTTAAATGGCATGTAATAAAATGTATTTCTACAGCACTTTTACTTACATTGCAATGCTCAGATATTCATTGAGTATGTGTTACTCTGTCTGCCTGCCTCCTGTAATTGCTAAACACACTCTACATGCATACGATCCGTGTATGCTTTCGTCGAAATACCGTTTTTACATTTTATGCTTTATTCAAGTCGTTTTTTATGATTCGATTGTACACTGTACAGTTTAATGAGTATTGCTCTGAATGTTTTATCCGAAATGGGAATCGAGTTATACTGACGGAATCCCGGAAAGCAGGGATTTGATTAAGAAAATTAAAAGACATTTTATCTCTCCACTGACACCAATCACTTAAGCCTCAGCACCAGCTACTTTGTCAAGAGTTTAATACGAAACTGCTTCGTGTAATAAATTGTTTCATGATTGTTATGGAGTCTCCAATATATAAACTGAACTTTTGTTCACTGAATTTCGAAGGTTTTGAAAATGAAATGGAAATATTCTGTGACGCGTCATAAATTTTTGGAGTTCAGATCTGTTTTGTACGAAAGTAGCACCAGTATACCGTTACTTGAATGGCAAATAAAACTTTTCGATTGAATAGTGTTAAATCGGATTATTAAAATTACAGATGATTCACAGACTTATGATTCAATTTTTCATTTAATTCGATTTTCCATTCGATTCGATTTTCAAGATGTTTTTATGTATTTTTTGCGAATTGTCTACGAGTTTTTGATCAAGTCTCGTTCTTATCGCGCCGTGCATTATCGGAAAAGTTTTCTTTAATAATGCTAATAAAGTCCCTTTTGAACGTTGGGAACAAACGATAGCGATGCAAATTTATCAAACATTCACAAGTTTGTCTCCGGTTGGTGACAATGCGCCGAGGGTCAAAGTGTCGCTGAATTATTTTTTGTGTTATGTGTGTGTGAGTGTGTGCGAAAGAAAAGAGATAATTTATGAGTGTGGCAATGGCGCTATCTATTGTTGTAGTATGTATCATAAAAAAGGAAGTGAAACGCGCTGAAAATCATGAAATATGCTTGTGGAACCAGATTAGGGCTATTATAATGCCACTATTATATCTACATTAAAATGGTATCAAATGGGCTATTTATTATATTCGCATGTCTTACAAAAGGCGGGAACGGTCATCCACTTCAACAAGAAAACCCACATGATGGCTATTCCAGACTCATCCCATGCACACTATTCTTCATTGCGTTGTGATTCATTTCGCAAGTATTATTCATTTGATTATTATTCATTGCGCTAGTTGTAACAACATAATGCAGTTTATGCGAACGATGAAAAAGCCGATTTACTTGTTCGAATGTTCTTTGTGGCGCAAAAAAATGAACCGAATATGGTAAAGCATACACGCGACGCGAACAAACTCAACGGGCAGTTGAAAAACATGTTTCTACAATCTGAACTGAAAATTGATTCATTAGCTTCTCTGTGTGCATAGAACACACCTAATTTCAATGGCGCTTTTGTTTATCGACAACATCGTTGTAGTTTTTTCGCGGGATTTAAAACCGATTTTGTTGTTATGTATTTGCAAGGCTTTTGTGAAATAGGATTTAGAGAGCAATTTGCATAATAAAGCCGATGTTGAAAAAAGCGCACGGCAAATCAAGCAATCCTTCGATGTGATTAATATACCAGTCGGTTGGATTCAATGCAATGGCGGCGGTGGTGGCGACGATGACGACGACGACAACGACGGTAGTGATCAACATTGATTTTCGCCAGACATATTGACAATGGTGTCCTCTTAAATCTAACGGTCGCTGCGTGCTTTTTAGCCATCCATTAACATCGGGATTCGATGAATGAAAAAGAGCAACACACACAGAGGTATAATCACTTTAGCCCATTGTTTCACATTTGCTGTGTGTGCGGCGGTGTGATTTTTGAGCATGGCCTATGTTTGCAATTACTGTTCAAAAGGGATTATGCGATTAAATTGTACTCTCTTTCTCTTGGCACACTCGGTCCGACTCCCCAACAACACACAATCCAAACGTGGTTTGAGCCAGTCGGACAGGGAGCTCAAGCGATAAAGCTCACGTTTTCAACTCAATGCGAAACATGTGAGCAGCCGATGAAATGAGGTGTAAACGTGAGTCAAAACACTATATTCCAAGGGGTTTGTTATCGCAAATTGGCAACGCGCAGCCAAAGAAAGCGACAAGAGAGAAAAAAAGGCATGTCGTAAAAATGGGAGCATGATAAATGTGAAGAGATGAAAGGAGTGTGCTTGAAAAGTGCACGACACAAAGATTTTCATAAGGTTGATGTCAGCGCTTAACGTGTGATGGGGTGACGATTGTTTATGGGTTGTTGCTGTCGTACAATGGCATAGAAGAAAACGACAATGACGATGACGACAAGAAAAAAAGAGAAAAAAATGGTTTCGAAGCAGAGATGCTGCACTGAATTAATTTCGCAGATTAACGTGTCGTCTCCCGATGATGCTATGAATTTTGATGAACTTGTCGTTTGTTGGCTATATAAATATAGATTCAGATTGGCACCATCACTTTCGCAACGCGATGAAACCATTTATTTGGATTTTGTGTGAGCAAAATATTCCAGAATAACTGCTGACACCATAAAGGAACAACCAAGTGAAGAAATAAAGAAACCCATTCAACTACAACCATTGACAAAGTAATGCTTTGGAGGAATTCGCTAGTAAAATCTACTGCATGTTTTTATCTGCATGTTTTTTTGGGACTTTTCATGATCAATTTGAACGATTCGATTTTGAAATTAAATTTTTGCCATTCGATGAAATTCATTTGCATATTCTCTCCGATTTTTTGCTCGAGTAACCCCCAAATAGTGCCTAGTCTATTTGAAATTGAATTCATTTTTTGTGTTCAATGAATGACATTTTTAGGCAGTCGACGTTGCAAAGGGTCAGCATCGTCGTTATGTTCGATGTGATACAACAACAACAACGACGACGACGACGACGACGAATGAATTTGGACATTTTTCGGATCAAACGTGTGATGAATAGACGATTGAATTGTTGAGTCTGACTGATTGAGAGAGAGAGAGAGCGAGCGAGACTTACCTTTCTTCCATTGTGGTGGGCAATTGAGTGCGAGCTCGTAACAGCATCGGTTTGTGGTGCAATACATTGCCATTAGTAGTTGAACCGGAGCTAACGCCTCCGCCCTCTGACATGTACCCGTTCTCAATGTCCGAATACCGAACCGGTACTTTGCGCAGTGCATCACCATCGCTGCAGTATCCTTGTGCCATGTCATCATTATAATCGTATGCCATGTGCTGATTACGTTGATTTCCACGCGTTGGCAATGTTAAATGACTATTGTAACCACGGAGCAGTGGTCGCATTGGCATAACAGTCATTTGTTTTTCCTCCTCATAAATCACACCGTTGACATTTTGAATTTGTTTCGTGGGCACTGTATTAAATTTATTGGCATTGGTGCCATTCGTTGACGATGACATTGCTGTCATTGATGATGATGCCGTTGATGCGATGCTACCATTTGACGATGCCTTAATCATTGATCCATTATGCAGATCGGCCAGACCACCAATTTGTTTCGTTCGATTGGCAAACATAAGTTTATTCGATGACGATAGAATTGGATTTGGTCGCATTGCAATTGCATCGGATGCAACATTCGATTGATCGTTTGATGATGGTCGATATATTACAGTTGAATCGCATGTACTGGATATGGGACCGGATGACGTTGACGAGCTGTGTGTCGATTTTGTATCACTCATTGATATGTTTTGTTGATTTAGCGCTTGTTGCATTTGCAAATGGTTGGCCAACATTGTTTGCTGCTGATTGACCATATTTTCGATTAGAATCGGCGCAATGATTTGCATTTTTCCATCATCCTGATTATTGGTCGATATGTTATTATTTTGACTTGATATGTCTACCAGTTTCTGGCTTTTGATATCATTGAATTGTTCCGTTGTTGATTTTGGTTGCGTTGACGATGTTTGATTATGTGCATTCGATAGTTTGGTCGTGCCTTTAATAGCGGCCATTGGTTTCGGTATGCTTGTATACATCACGTTCGGTATACTGCTGGTCGTCATTTGGGCCGGCACTGATGCCGTTGTCATTGTTGTTGTTGAACTTGTTTGAGCTTTTGCGTTTGGCGGCGCAATTTGCGAGATATTCGTTTTACTCTCCGATCGATTTTGATCCAACGATTTGCGACTCGATGAAATCATTTTCAATTTACTCTCATTCTTGCCACCGGATGCTTTTTGGGCTTTCGAAACGGCAATTTTACTTTCACTCATGTCAGCTGACACTGTGCGTGCCGGACTCTTATCTTTCTTCTCCGATTTCTTCGTTAGCGTATCTTTGCTGGAACTTTTTCCCGACGACGACAACAGTTTCGATTTTGCTTTCGATGTGTCCGATGATTTTTTCAAATTACACGACGGCGCTTGCTGCTGCTGCTGCTGCTGCGCTTGAGAGCTCACCACTGGAATACCCGACGACTTTGCATTCGGATCGTTGTTTAAACTTAAACTCGAATCACTGCGTTCGCTGCGTGCCGACGAAAATCCACTGCTTGAACTTGTTCGCTTAGTTGATATCTGTGCCTTGGACGACCGATCCGATTTCTCGCCTTTGAACAACTTTAATTTATCAAGCATGGAGTGCTTTGTCGGCGTGGCCGGCATGCCATTCATTACGATGCTGCCATTGCCGGCTATGTGATTGTGCACCGCATACGGACTCGCTGGTATCTTGCACGCCGTTTGTTGGCGCAAACTTGATTTATTTTTTTTTGAAAACAAAAATAAAAAGAGAGAAAAAAACATGAAAGAGAGAGAGAGAGAGAGAGAGGAAATAAGTACACAATTTTAGAGAAAGACTGTAATGAATCTAGTGACGTAGTATAATTTGATAAATTAATGGCAATTTACCCGCTGCTACTTTTCGGTATTTGCGTTGGTGGATTTCCATTTTGTTGCAACGCATTCGTCTCCACATTTCCATTCACTTTGCCATTTGCACCGACTGAAAGTAAAAAAAAAACGGAATGAAAAAAAAAAACTCAACTCGAGCAAAATATGCTTAATTTATTCGTTTTTGATCAGCAAAAGTTTGTTTTTTGTTGCTTGTTGTGCGAAACTTCATTATGAACATTATCAGCACATCGCTGTTACAATGGCAATAAATAATGAAATGATCAAGTGGCAAACAGAAGATTTCAATTACACCCAAAAGACTGAAGAAGAAGAAGAAGAAGAAGAAGAAACAACTTTGCGAGACGTAATAAATAGCATAGAACTGGTATGATTGTACAAATGATTGAAATCGATAGAAAGTGTCTGGATTTTGTTGTGTGAAACAAAAGACGGCTAAAACTTTGACATAACTTTATTAATCAAAACCAATCTAACGACTCATCGTGTTTGGGTACGGTTTTAACGAGAGAGCAAGAGCGCGTGCAATAACTTGGTGTTTGAACATTGAAATACTTACTTTGGTGACTTGGTGTCGGTGGCAAAGGTCTTACTTTATCGGGTGGACATCGTCGTGTGACTAAAACGGTAGATGGCAATGGTATCGAAGTACCATTCGGTCCTGGCTTTCCATATGGCGCAGGTAGTTGTCTGTTTTGCAAACGAAAAGAGAGAGAAAAATAAAATTATCAATATAAATTGTTGGCTCGTGTGAATTGTTCTTGTTCGTGCTCATTTCGATTCTGCACGTATGACCAATACAAGTGATCAACTTTATATTATTTTTATCTCAGTGTCAATTAATCGAAATTATTTGTTTTTTTCGTTCGAAAACTTTGAGAAAGAGTATGAGAAAAAAAATGGGACTATTGAATTGGTTTACGATTTCGAGTAGGTTTCGATCAACTTGTTTAATTTTCCTTCTTCTTCTCGTTACGTATCGCCCACGCAAATAGTTAGTCTCGTTTAAATGAGTGTGTCTTACGTTCGGCGAGAGTGCACTGCGTGAAATTGGCTGGATTCTGTAGGAGCGGCAACAGCATAATCATAAGAATGTTCAAGACTGCAAACTTAAAACACACTTGTTTTAATTTTACAATTTCAATAAATTCAGATGGAATCCTTGTGGGCAATAATACCATCGATACGCTTCGTATAATTGCATGTCTTTGGGTATTGTTGAACTTGAAATTGAGGCGTTGAAATCAGTCGAGCAGAAATGAGACTGAAACCTTCAAGTTAAACTACGCCAGACGTTTTGGATGTAATTACAACAAGTTTTAAGCAAGTGATGTACATGATATCCAATGCAATATCCTCTTCACAGCTAAAATCGATTTCCGACGGAGCTGTAGATGATATGCATGCGCAACATGGGCATTTAAATTTTATCGACATTGTCTCCAACTCAGCACATTCATAATCCAGTTGAAAATTGTTTATATTCGGTGTGGTGGCTATTGTATGCATTTTATTCAACAAAATGATAATTCCCAATTCGACTGTGTGTGTGTGTGTGTGCGATGCCATCGGAATGGAATGAAATGATAGTCGGCGGAACGTGTAGACACCCACGCCATCAGGTATACATACAGTCGGTTATTTTGGTTGTTTTGCCAACTGTTAAATTTGATTGTATCGCTTGTATCGTTTATCTTGTGATAAATTGGATGACAGCAACTCACTAATAAATCTACACAAGCCTCAAACATACACACACACATGCATATGTATGGGCATTGATGTTGTTCTTGTGTCCAAGCAATGTGCGTTCGCTCAACCTGTGTTCGCTTGTTCATTTTAGCCCGAAAATGCGAAAAATTATCACCGAAACATTCGAGCATATTGTCTGATTTTGTTGCAAATTAATAATCGTAAATGTTAAATATGCAGCATGTTCATGTTTTTGAAAGCACCAATGGCAAATGAGCAACCGAGCGACAACCGAACACAGGAAAACGACCCGATGTTTCATGTTGACCAAAAGAATAGAACGACCAGCATAAATTCATGTCATTAGTGTTTTATGACACAAGCATACATACACAGAAGCGATGAATTTTTCTCGTTTTCCATTCGAGTTGCGGCACATTGGACTGTGTCTACGTGTTTCGAGAGAATCGTAGACAGTTTTGTCGGAGAGAAAAAAAATGTGAACACAGATGCAAACTGTTCAAATTGTTGTCCTAAAACTTAAAGGCGGTGGAAAAAAAAAACTTTTTATGAGAAATATTTAAATTCATTTTTCCGTTCGTCCATCGGAAGCTCTCTGTTTCTCTCTTCCATGGACTTATGTTGTTACGGCTAGAGTTTTCTATTTGCACAGTTCGCTTTTGGTAAGTGTCTGCAGTGTGGATTTCAAAGAATATTTCTTCCAAGAAAGTTTGTAATTGACGTCGTCAACAGCATTCGGACATTTCGAATAAAGCGTGCAACGCATGCCGTGCGCGTCCGACGACAATCGGAGAATTTCTCATTTAAGAATGGAGAATTTTTACATTTCAAACAAAATTTTTCATTTTCACAAGAATCTCAATATTTTTTTACCTCTTCACTTCCGGAGATGTCGGTAAACTGCGACTTTTTCGACTTTTGTGCGACGAAGACGAATTACCCATCGCTGATACACTATCTCAATTCACTGTTTGGTTATTTACTCACGTTTTTTACTTTCGATTAACTTTTTATGAAACTCAAATATGCATGGCATTTTCATTTATCGACACATAGTCTGCTTTAGTGTAGAGTTCTTTCTAAGTAGATTGCTACCGATTTTGACTCTTGATAACTTTTCACTATTCTTTTTTCGTTCAGTTTGCTTCAATCGATGATGGCAAAATGTAAATAAAAAAAATCGTTTTACTTTCGTAATTTCAAATCGAAACTATTTCGAAGACTGCGCTGGAATTTGGGATGTGTTGCAAATTGGTTTTTAGCATCGGTGTGAAAGAACTCATTCGAGTAAATCATGTAGAAATTATGTGCATAAAATCCAAAATCGTCGGTGATTCTCTGCCAAACAGCAGAGACACTATCGATGAAACCAGTTTCGTTGAAATCAACAGTCGTTGAAGTAGTTTTCAACAGCGCTGTCTGCCATTTCATCGGCCTCAAACATGCGATGAAAATGTCAAACTAATTCTATGGCAACCGACAAAATTCAAGATAAGGCAACCGAAACATCTGTTTCAATTTATTCTCAGTTTATCAATATCTTTCAGCAGTATTCGTTTTTTTCTTTCTTGATTCAATTTTAGGTGCTCATCAGACACTAACATTTGAACTGATAGTGTAGAAATGATATGACGAGAAAGACAGAGTGAGAAAGAGATAGAGAGAGATAGAGAATGAGAGAGAAGTGTGAATAGACGTGAACTTTTGACGTGTTGGGTGCATAAAATATCCAATTACAGTCAAACGAAATAAAACGCATTTCAGGATCGCGTTCGCTCGCGAACCAGAACGAAGAAAGGGCAACCAAATCTCTCGCGGAGTTCGAGAAAGTGCATTGACCGAACGGAACAGCTTGTACATGATTAACAGAAGAAAAAAAACAACAAGTCGAAGCAACACATTTTGAAGTCAGAGAAAAATAGATGCAAATGTGCGTAACATAGAACACGAAAAATTAACTGTCTTGCATCATTAACATCCGCATAACACATTTTCTGTTCACTTGTAGAACCAGTAAATCATCCAAATGGTTACAAGCATATTTTTTTCTTTCTCTCCTTTCTCTGCTACAATACAATAAGCGCATTTTGAAAAATTATGTAAAATATCTAGTTTTAATCACTTTAGAGTGTGAGTTGGCTTTTGTTTTCATATATTTGCAACTTGTGGCTGCGTCTCTTTTTTTCGCTACGTATAATTAACTAAATCCAAATTTTTAACAGATTTTCCGTTTTCCCATAACTTGTACTCAGTTGTACGTTCTTTTTTTCCATCTTCTTCTTCTCCCAAGTTTAAATTGGTCTACGCTGGCAGCATTTTAAGTACATTTCTTTCATTTTGCGTTTTGTGTATTTGGGTGCACATTTGATTTGGTTAGTCTTATGAGCCAATATTTGCCAGACGATACACAATTGCACATTTTGTGTGGAGGAAGTTACCGTTTTATTACTTCAGCCGTTGTTTTTCTCGTTTCGTTCTTCTTCTTTGTGATTCTGCTCATTCGTGTGTTGAAAAACAAAAATTAAAATGCACGAAATGGCAAGATCGGTTCGGACGAAACGAAATGGAAGGAGAAAAAAAAATGGGAATCAGTCGCAACGAAAGCGAAATAGGAAATAAGAGACATAATTGACTATAAGCGTTGGTACGGAACATCAGTGTATGCAAAACACGGTTGCGTTACACTATCAACTGCACACAGAACAGAGGGAAAAAAAGAGAATGAATTGAAAACTGGAGACGAGATGAATTCATTAACGTTTGCAAATGCAGACGTCCGACGCGATTTAAAGTGCTATAGTCGTCGGTGTGTGTGTGTTTTTTTTTTCTTCTTTTCAATTTGTTCTTCTTCGAAAGTTTTGTTCTCTTTCTCTCACTCTCTCATTGCTTTTTTTCTGTTTTTTCTTCTGCTTCTCATTTTAAATGCAGAAAATATAAAATGCAACAAGGTATCATCCATCGTGTGTCACAACAATAACAATGCGAAGATGCAACCCAGAATTCAAATGCGTTGGTGTGTTTGAACTGTCTGCTTATTTCGCTGAGCAACAATAATAAGGGCACAATGACAGCGACAGCGACGACAACATCGGGCACACATCAGACAATGTTCTCTGTTGACTGTTCAGGCAAAAGGTGTGTCGCGCAACGGCTACGGCTGCTTGGTGCCAAGAATTATCTTATTGTCATCCAAAACACAGCATCTGATCAAACAACAACCATCCGTTCTCTGTGCGTGGATGTGTTTTTCTCTCCAATCGCTTTGTTTGTTTGCATGGTGTTCAAAGCATGATTTTTTGTTGTTTCAATGAAATTGCAATTTGTTGCCGTTCTTCAAAAAACCAATTTCACTTAAGTTTGATTATAAAGACGCTCTTCTATCGTGTAACCTGTTTCATGTTTGTTGAACAAACTCAATCGAAAAATTAGCTGAATTCGTTGAGTAAACGTTCCTTTTCAGCGAACACTCTTTGAACACAATCTTTGTGAATTTGTTCAAAGACGTTCTTTATCGTCGGTTTTGTTGCTGTTGTTGCTTGTGGTTAAGCGATTCCAATGAAATCGAAAATGTGTTTTCTCAAGATAAATAAATGCGATTTTGATTGGCGTTATCGCTGTTTGTATTGGTCTTTATCCCAATTTAATATCTCATACTAACTAATTTTCATCTGGCAAAATCGAGAAATAAAAATCGAAAAATGATTTGAGTTTTGGCACATAAAATGAAAACCGCAATACAGCAATAAATGCTTGTGGCTTTTGTCAAATTCACAAGAAATAGTCGGTTAACACTGTGAGAAATTATCATAGAAATGACTTTGCATTTGATATCGGTTTGTCGCATTTCTCTCTCTCTCTCTCGCACGAACAGTCGAAAATTTCAAAATCCAAAGGCTTCAAGTGATGCAATCTACTGCCTAAACTATATAAGTTTCTTTGATAGGCCACTTTGATGTTGATTTCTAATTATGTGCATC